TCACACACGCGCCACCAACAAATTTCATCATTCAAAACAAATTTCAAAGCATAATACGGATCTCGAGATGATATTTTGGGCAAGAAACATTCAATTTTTGATAAAAACTTATATTGAGCTTCGATTTTAGCAAACTTATAATTAAACTGACTAGCTCAATGTGATGGACCTAATGATATCATTGTTAGCCCAATTCGAGTCAAATCAAACTCAGATCAGCAATTGTACCACACTTACAAGATTTTCGGACGCATTCGGGAGGTCAAAGGAAGGTCGAATCTAGCAAGTTCACACTCGAATCGAGCGTCTTGACAAGACAAATCCAACGAGCCCAAGATCACTCAATTCCAACATCATTAAGGCATCCAAATGTTCATTAAACGCTATCTGATTGAGAGAAGCTCTCGAGACTGTCCGATCAAAATGTTTCATATTCTTGCACTAATTGCACATAAAAACACTATAAATAAAACCCCACCCCTCTCATGAGAAGAATCTTAAGCTTAGAGAGAGTCTGAGACAATGAGGAGGAGCTGAAGCTTAGTATCATTGTCGACCACCATCGCCGCCCACCGTCGACCGCAACCGACCATCATTGACCTCGGCTAAACTCCATCATCAACCGCCGTCAATCACTGTCGACTTCCGTCAACCATCACTTACCGCTGTCGATCACCGCCTGCCGTTGCCGACCATCACATACTGTCATCACCCACCTCCTACTGTCATCGACCACCATCTACTAATGTCGACCACCGCCTATTGTCATCAACCACTACCGAATTTCGTCGACCACTGCCTACTGTTATCAACCACCGCCGACCTCGTTTTGCTGATCTCCGTTGACCTCCGCTAATCGTCGTCGACAATCACTAACCACCATCAATCTCCACCAACCAGTTATAATCTGAAAAATATAATTACTCTTTTCAGTCTGTTAAACAAGAGATTTCTATAATCATCAATCAATAGTGAATTTTTGCAATTATGCTAGGCCCCGTTGTTTTTCCATTTAAGGATTTTTCACGTAAAAACTTAAGAAGTCATCACTGCTTGTTTCTCTTTCATCTGTGTGAGTGTTTGATTCTCGTACAACACCAAAACGATAATTCATTATTCTACCGCTGTGAATTTTCTAGCATGCATCAATATATAAATATATATATTTTCATAATGAGTAAAGTGTCAAAATGGTCCCCAAACTTATTGCAGGGTGCAAGATTTAGTCGCAAAGTTTAGAAAAATATCAATTTAGTTTCTAGGTCATTTAAAATTAAAGATTTATGTAGACCGATGTACAATTTTTATAAATTACGAAACTAAAATGATCAAATCAAAATGGTTTGGAGACTATTTTGACGTCTTACATTTTTAATAAATATATTTCTGGGCTTCTGATTATTTGTTTATTTATTTATTTTCAAAACATAATGTAGGTTTTTGAATGTGCACATATATATATATATATGTCTATGGCACGTTCAAAAAAAAAAGTTTTCCATCCAAACATCGATGAAAATGGCAGGATATGCCTTGACATTCTCAATGATCAGTGGAGCCCGGCTTTAAGGATATCAAAGGTATTATACCACAACATCAAGCATCTCAATTTCCTCACGAGTTCCATTCGATCCTTTTCATACGTCGAAAATTTTTGCAGGTTTTACTGTCAATCAGCTCTCTTTTGACCGATCCGAACCCGGACGACCCGCTCGAGCCAGAGATTGCTCATGTGTATAAGACCGACAGAGCGAAATACGATGCAATTGCTCGATCCTGGACTCAGCAATTCGCCAAGCCCTGAGAACCATTTCATTAGTTATTTTGCATTAAAAAAAAGACTCTTTTTAGCTTCAAATCCTGTTCAATGACTAAAGTTTGGGATTTCGTCAAAAAAAGGGGATAAACAAAGTTTGGACTTGCTCTCCACGTATAGTTTCTCTTGGGCTCGCTTTGAGACCTATATACAACTTTTATTATTTTTGTTTTCCGTAGTGTGATTATCTTTGGATATGGTTTCAAATCGAGTATATACCCTGCTGTCATATTCAAGAGGCATACTTCTCGTGTTATGTGGGTTTTGACACACAGACACACACACACACATATATGTATATCTATCTATCTATATATGTATGTATATATGTATGTATGTATATGTATGTATATATACATGTATATATGTATGTATATATACATTACATATACATACATATATACATGTATGTATAGATACATACATATACATACATATATACATGTATGTATAGATACATACATATACATACATATATACATGTATGTATAGATACATACATATACATACATATATACATGTATGTATAGATACATACATATACATACATGTATGTATGTATATATATATATAGAGATATACACATATATATATACATACATACATGAATGTATATCTCTATATATATATACATACATACATGTATGTATCTCTTTTCTATACATATATACATACATACATACATACATACATATACATACATACATGTATGTATCTCTATATATACATACATACATACATGTATGATAAAAATGAAAAATATGATACTTGAATGAGAAATTGAAATATGGATGAAAGAAAGTTGTTGATTTTTAAATAGTAAATTTCAGAAGATTTACACGTAATTGCCTCCTTATGGTGGCTCTTTTAATATGATTGATGTGTGCCAGAATATTTTTAACGATTAAGTGATTATTTAAGTAATTATTTAATATCTTAGCAGTCTATTTCTTCATTAACAACTGACAAAAATCTTATGTTGATTTAGACAGGTTTAGCAGGTTTGGGTTGACCTACTACCATTTTTTGGGCAGGACTATGAAATTGTTTTTATTACATGGTTGAACTGCCAAATGGCTAGCCCTTATTGGTAGTTTTTTTATTTGAACAGAATTATGAGCCATATAAAATATAATTTCTAAAATGAATTGATAAAGCATATTAAAATTTAGTAAATAAAAATATAAAAGATAAATATAGTTTGAATGAATATACAATTCATATGAAAACATAAGAATTGAATGGCATGCATGTAAATGCCCTAAGTAAAATAAAGGGATTTTTACATACATATCATATAATACTTATTATATTTACATATCTACCATTAAGCATTTATATTTTCAATCAATATTTAAATTTTTAACATCGCATCAGAAGTATCATACTTATTAAAAATTTAAAGTAAAATATATATTTTTATATATATTTTTTTAATATTAAGAATCATAAATATAAATATTAAAATTTTTTGTGTAAATTTGTAAATTCCTATGATTGTGGGCTATATTTGCAAATTTCCTAAAAACAGAATTAACCGCCCGCGACTATAAGTTTATTCGGAAGTCATTGCAAAGTAGTGAAGGGACTCGATGCCACAGTGCCAGAACCGTGATATACCAGTAAAGAAATCCTAGTCGCGAAGTAGGTCGAGGGGATAAACTAAAATTTTTTCTGGTTAGATTTTATTTCATTCTTCAAGTAGCCATATTGCCGATGTTTTCTTTGTAGCGTTGGGCGAATTTTCATCGCTATGTTTTGAGTAGGGTTTGATCCTCTTTTGGATTTCTTTTTTTTTTTGTTTCTTTTGATGACCTGGTTTTTTTAAATCTGATATTGATTTTCTTGTGTTATACAACGATTACGATGATGTTGAACATTTTCAGTCTTGTTTTGATGGCTTCGAAGAGGATTCAGAAAGAGTTGAAAGACTTTCAGAAGGATCTGCTGACATCGTGCAACACTAGTTTGTTTTACATCGCTTTATTCTTCTTTATCTGTTCCGAGCTGAGCTGCCTCTATTTCTTTCTACTTGACCGGGTATATGAAGCGATTTGGTATTTGTTTCAATTTAAGTTAAAATTTTATATTGAAGTTTTTGAAATAACACTCCAACCATTCGTATTTACATACATTTCACTCACATTTTTAACATTCAAACACAGTGCTACTTAATTTTTAAGGTTGAACCACTAATGCATAAATTATTCTTTTCTTCTAGAATCTTCTCCAAAGATGATTATAAATTAATTTTAAGATAAAATTTGACCACATGATTTATACCCAATAAGTTATGGATGAATATCTTAGTAGAATTAGAAAAATAATAATAAATATTCGAACGTTAGGTCTGTTGGTTTTATGACTTGTAAGGAAAAACTCATAAATGTATTCAACCCCACTGAGAAGTATCTGCAACTTGTTTCGAATGAGTATTAAAATCGCTTCATTACTCCTCACATTGATTCATTCTAAGATAATATGCAGAGGGTTATTGCTAACACCCTCACAAATTCATCTTAGAAGAGCCATGAAGTCTATGATTTATGTGTAGTTCCTTCAACAGATCGTTGAGTACTACATGTGTCATGCGAAACATATTGTTAAATCTTGTTGGATGGTCTGCAAGCAACTATTCAACCCATTTGTACCCAACATATGAGATTATAATGCAAGGAGAGTGATCTATGTACGAGTTATAATATTCGTATATCAAGCATACGACAATTGCAACTCTCCTTCCATGTCTTTCTCTAGTTGCATTCATGTATATCAGTATCGTATTGACTGACACAAAAGCATCAATAAATTAGCTACAATTATATTAGATTACTAACAACACAATAAACATATAAACATCACTAAATAAGACATGTCTCAAACAGTTAAAATATTTATAATAAAATGAAAAACAATACAAAAACATAAATGTTCAAAGTTATTGTAAATAAAAAAGTCTCTCAAATGTTCCTGCGATTATAAAAGTATCGTAGGTGTGCCACTTTACGGTCTTTGGGCATCTTAGAAAAAAATCTCTACGGGTCGATTATTCAAGAAACTCTATTGTAAACAAGTACAGTGACAACTTCTCAGAAATTTCCCTAGCTTCATTCAGAATTTGCAGGATCTGATCAACAGAAAGTGCTTGAGATGTGCAGAGTTCAATGTTACATGAGCCTCCAGCTGTGATATCTGACTTCTAAAGAAAGCAGCATTCACTTTGTTTTATTTTCAACCCGATAATGCTTAGAACGGCATGTGAACTCGTGTTCATGGAAGTCCGGGTTAAGGTCTTCGATGGAATCACCCAATTGGTCGGCTCCCAAATTCTCATGGTGCCACCAAACCCTCTCTCACTAGGGGCACGTGCATTGTTGCCCATATCAA